GCATTGCAGCTGAGCCTGCGCCTCGCCAAAATGTAGGTTAGCAAAGCATTAGGACCCCAGCCTCCGAGGCAAGATGGGTGCTGGGCCCAGCTTGCTCGGGCTCCTGACGATGCTTTTGGGGATCCCTGGCCCCCTCCCAGTCTTTGGTGCTGCAGTGGGACCTGGGGTTAGCGTGGTCCTCATCCTGCTCAGCTTAACAGCCCTCCAGCAGCACAGAGAGTCCCCGAGCCAAGCAGGGATGAAAGGAGCTCAGCTGTGCTGCAGCCCTGCAGACAGAAAACACTGCCTAGCAGGAGAACACTTGGGCAGGTGTGTTACATTCACACCGTGTAATGGCCCCAGTTAAGTACTGGCCTGATCTCTGAGGCCGTGCTGGTAAGAGCCAGGAAGGTGAGATGAGCCAAGGGAGAGAGAGGAGGACTGACACCAGCAGGGTCATCTCCCTGTTCTATTAATCCTGTCCTAACCAAGCCCGTGGGGAAGCTGGGCTGAGGGTCTAATCTAGCTGGGGTTGCTCTGCCCCAGGAGCTCAGGTGAGGCACAGGATGCTTTGTCCAGGAAAGTCTGCTTGCCAGAACCCCATACCTGTGTTCCCCGAGCCCTGGCCAGGCCAGGCAGGGCTAGTTCCTGGAGAGCCCTTAGAGACATCTGGGCACGGCTGGGTGTCCCCCATGGAGGCCAGAGCATCACCTCTCCCTGCTCCCACCCTGTGCCCACCGTGGTGGACAGGAGCAGGGCAGGGAGTCTGGCAGCAGTGGGGCTGGGGGAGCTGAGCATCTTGCCAGCTCTGCTGCCAGAGCCGGACCCAGCCGCAGAAGGTGCATGAATTATTGACTGTGGAGCTGATCAGCTGCTCCTTGCCATGAGCCCTTTGGTGCAGGCTCAGCTGCCTTGGCCGGGTCCATCCTTCCATCCAGCTGTGTGTGCCAGATCACCGCTGGGCAGAGGGAGGCAGTGAGTCCTGGAGCCAGTGAGAAAGGCTGTGAGAGGACTTGCTGTGAGCTGCTCCCTGCAGTCCTGAGAGAGAGGAGCCCACTGTGAGCCGGTCCCTGTGCGTTCCCCACAGAGCAGCACCATGGCAGAGAAAGGCATGGACCCCGCCTGTGTCTCCATTGCCCTGGAAGACACGGTGTGCCACGCCAGCCCCCCCGATGCTCCTCTCCTCACTACCCACCTGAAGAAGGTGGAGAACCACATCACGGAGGCCCAGAGGTTTTCCCACCTCCCGAAGCGCTCGGCTGTCAACATCGAGTTCATTGACCTGTCCTACTCTGTGCGTGAAGGATCCTGGTGGAGGAAGAGAGGTAGGAGCTGCTGGCTGGGGGAGGGCAGGGGAGGGGACCTGCAGGCACCCCCTCGGCCGTTCTTGATGCCTACCCATGTCCCAGCATCTTCCTCTGTGCTGGGTTCCTCTCTTCTGTGCTAATCCCTGCCCCAGGCAGCCCCAGCCTCTGCAAGCACAGAGTGTCTCAGCTCTGCCTGCTGGAGGGAGCTCCCCTCAGCCTGTGTTGCCCCGGGGTGGTGGGGGCTGGCTGGGTGCTCTGTCTGAGCAGCAGGTGCTGTTTGCAGCCATGCCCTGGCTGGCTGTCACTGCTGGGTGCCCGTGGTTGGAGGGCAGGCGCATGCTGGGGAACCCGCTGGTCAGGGCTGCCCGGGGAAGATGGACCAGGGACCTGGTTCAGGGGCAGCCAGGGTGGATGAGTTTCCTCAGCACTGTTGTTTGGGCTACGGTGACTTTGTGTGACATGCCGACAGCAGGAGACCCTAAGGGGTGCCCCAGCCCAGAGCTTGGCAAGGAGACAGCGTGTGGTTTGCAGGGGATTTCCTCTCCAGCAGCTCCCTGTGCAGCTGAGGCCACGGCCCCCTCTCCTCTGTGTGACTCTGGCCCAGAGCTCAGGGAGGGGAGAGGGGAGGCAGATGGCAGCTGGTGGGTGGTAGTCGGCTTTAATTAGCTGCCTCAGTTAATGGGATGCCAGTCAGGCAGCCCCACGAGAAGGAGGGGGAGCTGATCTGCAGAAGCTGAAGGCAGGCAGGGATGAGTGAGGTCCTGGGGTGAGCAGACTGGGGTTGCGTGGCTGCTCAGCGGGGTGCCCTGCCAGCAAAGAGCACAGGATGAGACCTCTGACCCTGTCCCCAGCCAGGCTCTGCAGCTAGGGAAACCGAGGCACTGAAAGGTGATGGGATCAGCTCTGACACCCCCCAGGATGAAGTCTGCCTGTTTGTCTGAGGTGCTGAGGAAGCATCCCATCCTGTAGCACCCCGGTGTCCCGGGACCAGCGGCTTGCAGGGAGGGAGAGGGAAAGGCTCGGGCAGCAGGACCAGACAGGAGGCTGGGAGAGGTCCTGGGATGCCTGGGTGGCGGTGGGAGGCACTCTGCTGCCCCCCAGGCCGGGCGGGAGGTGGAGGATCTGCCGGGGAGCCGCTGTGCTGAGGCAGGAGGTTACTGGCAATCGATGAATGCGAGTAACCGCTGCGCAAGCTGCAGTGGCGCCGACGTGAGCAGCATGCGCGGTGCCAGAGCCGTGTGCCCGGTGCTGGGGAGGCTGCCGGGCATCCTCCCCTGCTCTCCTCATCCCCAGCCCCCTGCCCTCCCCTCGCTGCCCCCCTGACGCTGGGGTCTGCTCCTGAATTCGGGGCACCAGACTCTGAGGGGTGCAAGAGGCAACCGGGAGCTGCCAGAGCATCCTCGTGTCCTGGGGGTGGATAAGCCAGAGGGGATGAGCCCCTTGGGTGCTCCTAGGGCCCTGAGCTACTCTGGCCCCGAGGCTTGGGGGGTGGATGGGTTGCCCTTGCCCAACACCAGCTGCCACCACGGGGTGCAGGGTGGGGGGAGCCTATTTCCAGCAGGGAGATGCTCTGACTTGGTCTGCATGGTTCAGTATGGTCCTAGCATCCTGTGCACCATTGCCTTCCTGCTGGGGTTGAGTTTTGGGGGCAGCTCCTGAGAGCCTGAGGCTGTGCCTGTTCCCTGCTTCCGACACATCGTGTTCCTGCTGCCAGAAAATGCTAATCAGCCGTGTTTAAAGTGGAGATAATTCCAGGTCTGATT